TAGGGTTTAGGGTTTAGGGTTTAGGGTTTCGGGTTTGGGGTTTCGGGTTTAGGGTTTCGGGTTCAGGGTTTCGGGTTTGAGGTTTCGGGTTTAGGGCTTCGGGTTTAGGGCTTCGGGTTTAGGGCTGAGGGATGTTTAGGGATGTTTAGGGCTTAGGGTTTAGGGTTTGGGGCCTTGGGTCTAGGGTTGAAGGTTTAGGGTTCCTTTCAGGGCTACTAGAAGGGTTGCAACGGAAAGTTCTCTAAGATTTCTATTAGGGTTTTGGGTTTAGGGGTTTCATGGCTCTGGATCAGGGTTATGGGGTTCGGAGTTCGGGGGTTAGGGGTTTTGAGGTTATTTTTTAAGTTTAGAGATTTAGGGTTTGGGGTTTAGGTGTAAAGATTAAGAGATTTAGGGTTTAAATTTCATGAACCTTCGACAAAAAGCCTGTTTGAGGTGCCTTGTAAAGGAACACTTCGGTGGCAGGGAGTGTGCTTTTGGGCATTTCTTTGCCGTGGCTTTTGGGTGACTTGGGGTTTAGGGTTTGGGGATGCAGTGGTTTGCGTAAGATTCAGAACTTACCGGCCTTGTAAACCGGTGCCTGTACAAGGGAGGCTCATGTGTGCCAGAGACTCCAATATCCCTTCATGAAGGAATATACCTTAAATTATAGTAGGATCCCTAATATGATTTAAGGTATATTCCTTCATTTAGGGTATTGGAGTCTCTTGGGTCGGCTTGAGGACAAGACTCTGGGGCTTTTGTGGTTAGGGCTTGTGTGCTCCAGGGTTCGGATGTAATGAATGAATATCCTAAAACCCTTACCGCACGGCCTAGGGTTTAGTTTAGGCTCAGGCTCCTTGGGGATGAAAGACTAATAATGCAAGAACCCTAGAATTTGGAGTTTGGGCTTCTGATTTAGTTGAATTGCGCAGCAAAGCGGCTGCTGGCAACACGCCCTGACAAAGTTCTGGGCCCCACTGCAGTGGGTGTCCACAATGCGCTCCCGCTCGTGAACATAATCACCTGGGTAGTTCTCTAAATTAGGGTCCCTTTTGGGGGTCCTTTTTTTAAGGGTGCCGTACTATATTGGGGACCTAAAAAGGGACCCTAATTTAGAAAACTACCCACCTGGATATTGTGGCAGGCCCAGCTTACCCCGCTGACGGCGACATTTCCCATGGCGCCGCCACAAACCGTGGAGACACCAAAGATCTCCGCCAAATTCCAGCAAGTCTGGGCGGCAACAATGCGCAGGTACGTGCTCACAGCCAGTCACCCGCAGATATGGTTCTTGGCTCACCTCCCACGTGCCCCCTTGATGCCAGACTTCTGCAAAGAGGAAGGAAAGTCTATCCGGCCATGCAAGGTGGTCGGCCACCGAGGTCATGTAGCGGATGCAGAGACCGGCAAATCGCAGCATCTGAAGCAAGAAGCGCTCGTAATTCAGTGGTGCGGAGGCAGAAGACGAGGTCCGCAATCTTGCAAAACGGTTTACCTCCTCAAGGAGCTTCCATGAGTTCAAGGTCGCCACGAAGTCTTCCATCACTGGCGCCCCAGCCCTCTCCATAATGAAGTATCGGTCGTTGATCCCGGAGTACTCATGAGAATCGAGAGACCAGACCGTCGGGCGGCCAGGGCACCTGAAAGCTGTGCTCAAAACATCAAGTCATCCTTAGGACCTCAGGGTATACGGGTTGGAGTTCAGGGTTTAGGGGTTAGGGGTTTAGGGGTTAAGGGTTTAAGTTTAAGGTTAAAGAGTTTAGAACTTGTGGAGCTTGACATACACCCTCCCTGCTTCCGACACAGCATCCTACTGCGCAAGAAGGATGATTGAAGAGTCTCTTTTTTTTTGCGATTGGCTCCACAGGCTCGCGTTCATCCTTGGGGACGAATTAAGTGGAACCCGCGCACCAAAAAAAGATCAAGAATCTACGCGAATCTACGCCTTGCAAACTGTGTTTTTTTGCCCGACCTGCTCGCATCCAACAGGGTCACGTTCGGATGTGCAGCCGTCCAGGCGTGATCCACGCGAGTGAATGCGACGTAGTCGTACTGAAAGCCCCTGTTGCCTCGAGTCTCTCAGGCTCTTGGGGAGCCAAATAATGAGGGCAAGAGCACCATAGACGCTCGAATCATTGATATCAAGCTACGAAAAAACGGAAGAAGAAACATAGTAATAAAGGCAACATCAAATCAACATCAGCAGCAGCAACGTCAAAACGACGCACCTGCGGGACCGACAGCAGAAGCAGCAAAAACAAGACACTCAGTCTGAAACAGCTGCCATGTAAGTCCATTTGCCTTCAATGTCACGAAGTGCCTGCATGCAATGAGCCCATTGACGATTCATGGGCTGATTCTTGAAAGGCCGCCCACGCTTGGCACGGCCTTGCAAAAGGTATGGTAAGTACGATTTGTTCTCCGTGTGCCCGCGGTGAAGGAGTCCAAGCCAACCTGCACTACGTACTGGCGTGAAAAAAGACACTAGGTTGTCAGCTCCTTGTTACAAAGACCTCATAACAATCCCAAGGGAAACTCTAACCAATTAACAGGGTCCTTATCATAAGGACCCCAATACCCTCAAAAACAAAAAAAGAAAATACGGATGCCCCCAAGGTCCTAAAACCCCAAACCATAACAGCCGAATACCCGAAGCGTCTGAACCCCCGTAAACCGCTAACCCCTAAACCCTTAACCCTAAGCCCCGGAACCTGCACTGCTCGTCTGGTTGTCAAACGTCACCAACCGGACTCTAGACGAGGAGGTGATGTGAGCCTGGCCGGCTGTTGGGTTGGCAATTTGGGGTTTGGGGTTTGGGGTTTAAGGGGTTTAGGGAGTTTGGAGGGTTTAGGGGGCATAGGGTTTAGGGTTTAGGGTTTAGGGTGGGATCACAAGCAAGGATCTTGGGCTTTGGGTTTTAGAAAGATGCTTGAGGCTCTTAAATTCCCTACGGTTTCTTTGCGGGTTTAACAATGATGGATATCTTGGCTGGCGCCCTGGATGTTTTTTCCACCGCGCCCAAACGACCGACCAGCGAAAATTCAAAGGTTCGGAAGTTTGTTTGGGGTTTTTGGGTTCAGGGTTTGGGCTTAATGTTGTGGAATGAGGGTTGAAGGCTTAGGGTATCCAGCAAGAACCCGGACTCCTGAAAGTTCGCTGATGGCACGTAGCCGGGAGGGTGCGACAGGAAGAAGAGCGCATCCTTGGTTCCCCAACATCCCGTCTAATGATTAGAGGTTTAGGGTTTAGGGCTTCGGGTTTCTGCTTTGCTTAAAAGCGCATCCTACTTCATGCAAGTATTCCAATTAAGCAAGGACACCTAAAAACGGACACAAAACATGAAGTACTAACTACTTGTGGACCTAGCATCAGCGTCCAGAGGCTCCAGGACGAAGCGGTCAAGAAGATGCAACACTGAAACCCCATGCCTAATTCATGGGCGGGATGGTATTAAAACGTAAATATCTGTTCCTTATTCGGTTTAAGTACCCGTAAAAGATGTAAAATGTTACCCAAGTGTGACAAAGATGCAGGGATCGCAGAGGCTCAAAGTCAGAGTGGAAAACTTGGTCCCCGCTCCTGAGTTATTGCCGAATTCATAAGCCCAAAAGTGTCAATTTTCAGATCTATACGGGATTTCTTCAATAGCCCAAAAGTGTAAACTTTTAATTCTATAGGGGACTCTATACACCCCAAAAAGTTCTAAGGATGTTTGGAATATCCCAAAAAAGCGTACACAGTACTCATTCAGCTACTAAGGCTCTGAACAGCACCAGCCACGCAGACAGCCACCAGGCGACCCGCTTCCGGCCCACCTGCTTCAGATACCAGCCCAGACTGCACCAGAAGCACCATCACGAAGCATTGCTGCATGACTTCGTGTTGGCACCCTCACGCCAATCAGAACTGACACTGAATGTGTACAGTGTACGATGTAAGACCAATGATGCTTCTTTCAGCAGAGGGTGTTGGGTGTCGAGGTCATTGGCTGCAACGTGCTCATATATGGATAGCCATGCAGATGCCTTAACATGCCACACTCTGAACCGTGGCAGGATCTGAGACGACCGAGCAGAGGCTGAATGCCGCAAGCATGAGCACTCTACGGTCTTGCAACACATGATCAACAGCTCATAAACATCGAGGCCTGAATAATTTTTGGGATCTCAGAGAATAGGTACAGTATACTGTACCCCAAAACCTTATTTTGATTATAACGCAACTATATTACGTAATAATGATCACAGCAGTCGTACTGTTGATATTGAAGATGATTGTAATGCAACACACTAAACGCGAAGAAATTGCTCGTGACTGTGGATAAGTTTGAAAGTGTGGTGGTATTGCACTACACTGGTGTTGCAACGAGATTCCTATCCTTGCAACAAGTGGGCACGGCAGGTGTCGATCTACACACCGACGGTCACCGACGGAATCAAGGCTGTCTTGTCTTTTGATCTTTGAGTCTCAGCCAGTGATATGTATTGCTGGCTCCACTAAGCAAGTGAAAAACTCTTGAGCTCTAAGGCTCCAAGCGAAAATTGCTTGGTCGCGGAGGAGCTTTGGGCTCTAAGGCCTCCGCGGCAAGAGAAGCTTTTTAAAGTTAAGTTGAGTGCTCACACAAATGAAGGATTGAAGAAATATCTTGTCGGCACCGATGCAGGCACTGCATGTTTCGCCATGCCACAACCAGTCCGAACCCCACCCCCCGCCCCCCTGAAAAAAAGACCAGCATCTATGTGACCACTCGTGATCTGAGTCGCAGGGCTACTTGAAAGAATTCTAAACCCGAAAAAGACCTTTCAGCCATCACAGTTTTCGTCTTCGTGCTGGTGTTCAATGCAAGTACTGCCACACGGAATCCTAAATGCATTTGAATCACTCACATGTCCGGTATGCGTGCGTCTGGTCCAAGGCCTGTGAAGTGCAATATTCGATATGCTCAGTACTCTGCCGTACCGGGGCACAAAAGCCAGCTGGTCCTTCGCTCATTTCACCGCAAAAATGCACTGAAGGAATTGCAGCATCTGCCAAGCAGCAGCAACCAAGCAACGTGGAGCTCAAAGCCAAGACCGGAAGGATCTGCCTGCTGTGATTGTTTTCCTCCATGAACGCAATGTCTCTTTCGGCCTTGGGTTTGGGCTCCTTGCACTTGCATTATGTTGGTGCACCCACATTGCCATGTCTGCCTTCTCGTGACATACTCCGCTTGGCATAAAGAAAAAAGTGATCCGCTTGTGTGCTTGCTCATGTCATTAAACGTCTGTGCATGTCTGGTGTGCGGTGAGGCGGCTTCCTGCAGAAAAAAAGTACATGCCTTTCCACGTTTTAAGGTTGGTGCACCATGTGGAGTCTTGCCTTGCTCCGAATACAACCGGAAATCGCGGAAACGTGTGCACACCGATTCCCAGCAGTATGCAGCTTGAAGAGATTTGCCGGCATGCCGGACAGAATCGAATTGAGAGAAAGTTCCAGAGAAAAACGGAAACCGGAGTGGAGACGGACGAAACTAACTCGCAACGGAAACCAAAGCCGTTCTGATCCATGCAAGGACGGTAGTAGTTCCGTTGCAACTACTCAAACTTGTTCCAGAAAAGACACCGCGCAATTTTGCACTCATGCCTGACAACGCTAGTTGCAAAGGCAATCGAGCTCCCACAAAAATGCGTCGACTCTACCATCTATGTGCGCAAAACGGACTACTTGCATGCAGATGCCGCGCAACAAACCTGGCATAATGAAGAAGCTGCCCGCCCAAAAAAACAGAGCGTAGTGGCCGTGGCAAGTTGGTAGTCGACGAGTGTCCATCGGTCCTGCAGGTCGTAAAAGGCGAATCTCAGATCGAGCGAAGAACACCAAGACAGAGAGTTGAAGACAGTGATGAGACAGCAAGCCTTCGAGCTCAGCAGGTTCCGTGGTCGATGTCGATCAATGAGCCTCCACCCAATCCTGCCTAGTTCTGCAGAGCTTGAAGTCAAAAGAAAGCAGTCAAGCTGCAAGCAAAGCAGACAGACTGTTTTCTTTTTCCATTGGCGAAACCGTCCAGTATCCACCTGGCAGGTTCGACAGTTGCAACGGTTTTTTTGGCGTATGCGGGCCTCAGTGACAGGGACTGCTGCGCTCAGTTCCAGTCAGAAAGCTGAAAAATGACAATCTTCCAGCAAAAACCGCAGGTTCGAAAACTGCATCATCTTCCCTTCCGGCTGCACAAGCCTCTCAGTGAGCTCCAATACAAGGAAGGCAGCAAACAGAGTTTCCAAAGCTATTTCTGTCGGATCCGCAAACTTCGTGACAAGTGGAGCCCCTCCAGCGCGGGCGGGCGGGCAAAAATTCTCGAGCTGCACACGGCCAAGAATTGCAAGAAGCAGAAAGCATGAACTGCGCACGTTCGGGGTTGGTTTCCGTTTCCTACCGGGTTTGAGCGGACAGACCGTTTTCTTTTTCCGTTGGCGAAAACCGTCCAGTGTCCAGCCAGCCGGGTCCGATATTCAGACCGGTCTAAGAAGATCGGACGAGTTCTAACGGCCGGTCACCTGAAACTCACTGGCAGAAGTTAGTGAATCCGGAAATCAACCGAAAATCCAACTGAAAGTCCCACTCTGGAGTGGGAGGAAGGAAAGCGTGAAAACAGGCAGTCGCATCAGTGGCAGACTTGATTCGAAGTCTGAAGCAAATCTTTGGCTTTGTGCACAGCAATTGAACCAACCTGCAGGACAGACTTTCCTGGCACCAGAAGAGCGGCCGGTCACCTGGTTTTTGCTTCCACCCACGTTCGGATGTGACTCCTTCCCCTCATTGCTGCTGCAAGTTAGCTTAGATGTTTTACAGTCTGACGAGCCTGTTGTCGTGAGGTGGTCAGTGACTCGATAGCTTTTTGAAGCGAAGGTTTCATTGTTTGTGCAGCTTTTCTGCAACATGTTTGCCTTATTGATCGGACCAAGTGCAGCCGTGCTGTCTACGAGACCGGCGACAAGTGAAAAATTGAAAGGGGTGAAAGCAAAAGATTGAGTTGACGTTATTGAGTTGATGTTCTCCCCTCCCAGTTTGTCTCTTTGGAAAAAGTTCCACATGGCCTTGTCCTGTATGTTGTGACCGGTATCAAAGCTGATTTGAAATCAGTTCCGGCGCGTCCAAAAGTTCGCTCAAACAAATTTATGTGAAGCATGTGGGTAGCAGCTGATCGGCATTCAAGCATACTGCGTCATGCATTTGCAGAGCTGAGGATATGGAGCTTCTTATTCTTGTCGAATGTAATGTTCCAGGATGATTCATGTTCATGTTCATGTACATGCAGCCTCTCTCTTATATCCATGTTTCAAAACTGCGCTATGTTACGGTGTAGTCTCTGGCTGTTTCGTTCATAGCGTAAGTCCTTCTTCCCCGCTCCGGCCGGAACTCGCTCCGAAACGTGGCCTAGGAGGCCCAGGGCTGGCTTTTAGAACGCCCGAAAGT